ATAAGATGTTTGATATATTCGTGAATGATCAAAACATCAGCTGAAACCTCGGAACTCCAACTACAAACCATAATGTGATCCACCGAAAAAATCGCGCTGGTGTCGCAAATTGGGTTTAGAATAAGATGGATAGAATATTTCGGTGAGTCGAAGAGCCACTATTTAAATATATTAAACTATTTACCGAAATTGATAGCGTTGATTTATTATATTTAAGAGGAATGCTCACGGAAAAAAGAAAAAATGGCGTTTTCAGTGGTTGACCATTTACCTGATGTTAATTTAAGATTATCAGCAATTGACGTATTTAAAACAACGATTGACTTAAATTTTCTCACGTTGCAAATCACTGGCTTTCCTTTTTTGTATTGTTGACATGAAAGTTTAAAGTGAAGATCAATCAGGTAGATGCCAAATACGGAAGATTTTCCTTAGATCATTAACCATTGACTTTTGATCGGTCAAGTTACGATGATAAAGAAATAATAAGCTAAATACATACGTATTATTTTCTTTTCATATCATAGAAATAAACTCCTATAGCTTGTAGTCAAAATGTAATATGCAATTGGATAAATAATACAAATAAGATAAATTTTCAATATAATTAGTAGATTGTTCTTTTGTAATAAATGTTCAAAAAAAAAAAAAAATTTTTTTTGGCGTACACCTTGTTATTTTATCAAAGATACAACTTTTGTTCATATACATTGCCATTTATTAGACTATTGTCTATTGCATAAAATAACTCACTAAACTAAATTATAATGTGATTTGTTGTCAGTTCCTAGAAATGAAGATATATATCCTAAGTGGTTTTAAGGGAATATTATAGCATCTGTAAAATGCTATGTAAATCATATATTGGTTTTTTCATGTATTTGTTTACTATTTGTGGGTATAAGTTTGTGATTAGATCTTATAAGGATATGTTTTAGTTGTTTTAATATTTGATTTTTTTTGCATTTCATTTTGCTTGTGATGTTCTGTGAATGTTCCCAGATTATAAATTGTTCATATCTTTTATGCTATATTTTTCCAAATAGTTGTTGATTTTGTTTCTAATAGCTTTGAAATGTGTTTGTCATTTATTGTTTTTTGCATTTTCTTTGATAATTTTAGTCAGTTTAAAAGGGATTGCTCCTCTGATTATAGCGATAAATATATATATATTTTTTTATTTGCTCATTTGTTATTTAAGAATTTGATGTGTGACTTGTGAATTGTTGTGTTTTTTTCTTTTTTTAGATTCTTGTAAAATTGTTTGTTTAATTAGTTATATCATATGGTCTTTTTTGTTAAGACAAACGAAGGGGTGGATTGTGTCTTCTGTTTGGTTACATGTGAGGCACTTGTCATCACTAATATAGTTTGTTATCTCTTTTATGTAATTTTGATTTGGTGGATAGTTTGTTATTCCATATTTGATTGAGAATTCATCTACATTGATGATCTGTTTCCGAGATGTAAAGGTTAGTTGTTTTTGAGGAATGGATGGATGAGTTGTGTTGATTCTTTCCAGTCTGTGAATTGTGTAATTTGATTTGAAATCCATGCCTGGTTTCTATTGAGGAGCTTCCATTGTGCCAGGTATTTAGCTGTTTGGCATTTTTTAATAGCTTGTGATATTGGGATTTCTAATAAGTTGTTGTCCCATTCTACTGGGATGATTGTGTGTGAGTATTTGTTATGTGTGGTTTTTATTGAGATTTTATTGATGGATCAAGTTTTTTTAGATATTAACGATTGATTTTTTTTAATATGCAATTCTCTTGCGTAATGTGCTGGGAAAAGGGTTTGTTTTTTATACTGTGTGCTTACTACGCGAAAATGAGAATTTAACCCGATTTAATAAAAATTATGTTGCTTTATTATGTGTATTTGTCATAACTACATTTTTCACAATCATACTTTTTTTCAGCTAAAATAATAATAACGGCCTGGATCCCGTCTAATAATAAAAAATGTCTCTCCCCTGAATTGTACTGTAATAATAGCGCTTAAAAGAAAATTCGAAGACAATACTTAATTTAACACTAATGGAGCAATGCCGTGTCTCAAAATTTTCAAAGATCTCTTGCGAAACAGAAGATCGCATGTGGTGAATCTTTGTTTGAGTTCACAACTCCTATTTCAATTGTAATCACAAAAAATCGGAATATTTGTTCGTTAGGATCGAGATCTGTAGATGACGAATCACACATGTATCACTAATTCCTATTCAAAAACGGATTAACGTGTTATTAGCCATACACGTAATTTGAATGCGCTAAACGTCAGTAGGATAATAAAAATATACCGTTTATCCGAGGATCTGTAAATCATAGATCTAATCGCTCTATTTTCCTTTTTAACGACACCCTGTCTTACGATCCACACGAAAATCAAGGATGTGGTTTTTTTATTAGTAATTCAGTACTGCGTAAATGGGTGAGATAGTACATACCAGACAGAACATTGGGGAAAGTTCATCAGTATAGCAACACAAAAATACAGTAATTCTCTTGACCGAGTTTATTAATAGACTGATCCTCTAAAATAACGACTACGGATCCCGGTGACGCATAGTATATTCTGCGGATATACTTACTTCGGATAAGCCACCCATGTGATTCGAAAAAAAAATTTCGCGTAATTTAGACAATGCGAGTAATTGATTCGCCCAATAATTCTTCTGGAGAGATAATAGGACTCAACATTGGGGACCCTCTCCTTTCGTATCTTCCATCACGATAATAATAGCTCTATCACATTCACCATATTCATTATATCCACCGTATCCATTATATCCATCATCATCCGAATCGTCCCTTCGGTGCATCTCTTCTTCAGAATCATCGGAATCAGAGTCACCATTGATTGAATTGGGGTTGCCATCATCCGCATTAACAGGGCCTGAAGAATTAAGGTCATAAGATACAGGAATAGGTAAGGTTGATTCAGCTGAAACCGCCTCCGATGCATTAGTCTGATCATCCGAAATCTCCTCTTCGAAATCGATAATAGAGTCTTCCTGATCATCTGGTAATTCGGCGTTTGGATTCTTGGAGAAATAATCAACAATAGTTTGAATTTGACTATTAGATAATTATGCAATGGAATTTGCACTATGCGTTTTGATATATTTGATTTTATCATTCCTATTTTTTCGGTAAACTCATAAACCTTCCTGGCTCTATTGATGCGCTGATATAAAGTATTTCGTTTGATGTCAGGATTGTGTGCAAGAATAAAATCGTAAATCAGTCTTTTGGCCTTTTTCGTGCTCACCTTTTCTTTGATCATAATTTCATCTATACTATTATTCAGTCCTATAATAAAATTTCTCCAGCACAGAATTCCGCCTGGTTAGCCTTTACCCTTTCATTTTCTGCAGTACATGCATTCTCGTATAAGCGGTTTATATTTGCAATACGTCTGAACTTGATAACTCTGCTAAACCCCCTGGGACTCTATCTTTTCTTGGCAATTATTTTCCTTACGGCCCGTAAGCGAAATTCAGTCATGTGTTTTTTCTCGGACCCATCCATGATAAAATCAAATACATCCTGCACGATATTTTCCGTTTTTTTCTTCTTATGTGATCGAGATTCTTTATCTACAGAATAAGCAGGTCCCTTTGGGACACTTAAGTCCTTGGTAGACGATTCACGCAATAATTTCTTTTCTCTGTTCCTCGCCTAATCTCATTACTAACCTTTTTCTTATGCACTTCATCTAAGAAAGAATCCGTTTTCTTATCTTCCGATGACTTGATGTCCGCGTTATTATTAGGCGCTGATATCTCTGGTAACACCTCTGATGTCGCTTCCTTATCATTCTGTTCCACTATTGCGATCCTAGCCTCTAATTTCTTTTCCTTGGCATCACGCCTCTCGTTATATTCCTCATTCGCTCTTAGAAACTCGATATTCCTGCGCTTAAGTTCAGCTATTTCAGCATCAGACACTGAGAGCTTGATTCAAAGATCGCGGATCTCAGTATTTCCCTTCCTAAGATCAGCATTCTCAGTCTCAAGCTTGGCGTTCTTAATTTCAAATTCAATGATACTCTGTTTCGATAATTCAAGCTCGGATGACATGATCTATATATATAACTAATACATTGTATATAAGCATTCAAAAATAAAAAACATAATGTGATTTTTCCTCACGGACCGTCAGCGAAATTTGCCAAGAAAAATATTTTATTAATACATGCGAAAATTAAATTCAAATGTTCGGGACTTTGCCCTTGATACATATTATTTTTTCTATGCTAAGCCCCATCTGTTCCTAAATTCTAATTCGATTTTCCTGCGAGGTTGCTCAATGACTTTACCCTTTTTAGACCACTTTGCGAAGCTTCCACCGGCTTCTGTGCCTCCTCCAATAACCACACAATATGCCCGAGGACCTTTTCTACTTTAGCTTGCAAATTCTCATCCTTGTACACAACGGTCACTGGTTCCGATAGCTTAAACGATGGTTTCCCTTCATTATCTAGCGAACATTCCATAAAATACCATTCAGATGCATCAATAACAATCCCAAATACCCTATCTACGTTCTGTCCATTATCGATTTCATCTGCCTTGCGTTTACGTGACAAAATTGACTCTATCTGCACGGACGCCTGGGCAAATCCCTTCATAAAATCTTCCTTCTTAACTTCAATTACACCAAGGACTATACCGGTCGAACGACACTCTACTGCATAATCGAGGTTCCCTTGTCCATTTCGACCCTCGATAAGTTTTTCCGGTATGAGCTTGAAATTATCTTTGTAAAACGAGACCCCGGAAGCCAAATAGCAGTAAGAATAAATTGTCTTTGTTGACTCGTATGCCTTGTCGAGAGAAGTAACATCTTGGCGAAGTTTTAATTCAGCCATTAGATGCTTAATCACGGCTTCAGACTTTTCGCTACTTAGGTTAGCAGAACCACAATGAAAAACGGGATATACATCAATACTAGGATTCGGGTCATCGCTAAGCTCATAAAGCTCACACACTTTAGGGAAGGTCCAGGAGTTGAATGGTTTCGAGGGAGTCTCTATGAACACGGTAAACTTGAGATTGTTCTTTGATATTAGCGTCCGCAACATCTCTCGAAATGATTCATCGTTCATGAAGTTCAGTACTGCTCCATCATTTTCAAGTGCTGGTGGCTTATACAATTCACCAATGTATTCTTTGAGGTCTTTGAGGGTTGCTTGCTCGATATTTGCAGTCCACTTATTTGCCTTCTGTTTCGGCCTAACGACAATATCGAACGCTGTAATATAACAGCCAGTTAGTAATTTTTCACCGACCTCTGCTCAGGAAAAAAATTACATACCATGAATTTTGACTTGTTAAGCGATTCCTCCAACGATGCAATGCGGTCAAGTAATTCCTGTTCACGGCTCGAAGTGGCGGTGGTCTCTGGCGGGGAGACTAGGACATGAATATGTTCCTCGGGAGGTGAGTCAGGGAAGTATTTCGAAATCTTTCTTATTGCCAACAACTCATCGCTGTCCTCGAGTGAAAGATTGCTTAAGGGATCAACATGATCGTCAGAGATTGGCACTTTCCATAGCCTGAGCTTGTCTGCGTCTACACCAGCAAAGTCATTTTGTTTTTTTTGCCTTAATAACTTTTTTGAGGTGGTTAACAAGCTGGTCCTTATCTATATCGACAGGAAAAGCGTTCGCTAGAGTATTTCCTTTGACGAGACAGAGTAAAGTGACAGGCATGTTTTCGGCTTATATAGTATTTTTTGCGAAATTTTCTGTAGACCAATCAGCCACATTGCATCATAGGTGCAACGATCGCCTAATCACTGCGCCTCCCTAACCATTCATTGGATAAAAATGTTAGATTGGACAACAGTTTTTTTTTCGTAGCAAAGTTCGTAATTTTTACTACGTGACTATCACTATTATCATCACGTGATAATCTTTTGCATATAAGATATGTAAGACGTGTAAGATTACGTAATATACACAAGCGAACGCGTTATCTCTAATAT